ACATGAGAACACGAAACGCCGATTCTCTTAAACCAGCGGCCGTGAAGAGAACACCGCCGGCCAGGAAATCCGCCGCTGCTAAAGCGGCTTTGGCCACTCCGAAGCAAGCGAAGAGCGTCGAAACATCGTCTACAGCAATCGCGAGCTCCGATTCAAAGCCTGAACAATCTCCAGGTATACAATTGAACACTTGATTCTTCTGCTCTATCGATGTGTGCTTGTTTTAGTTCTTTGGCCCACAGTTTGTTTGATAACTCAACAAACGGGAATGAAGACAAATACGTGCGTGTTGTAGATATAATAGCTCTTTAGGTGTGGCTTTTTCAGTTGACTCCTGGCTTATTTATGATTTATCTTTTGGATTTCTAAAATACTTGGAAGCTACCATCAGTATCTCAAAGTAATGGACCTTATCAAGTTCATTGTTGCATGTAGTTTGAGGAAGCTAAATTTGATTTTATCAACTATTGATAAGTCGGTGCTTCTTACACTTAGTGTGCAGAATTTTTCTTAGTAAGATTTGTATCACGATTGAATAAATTATGGAGAATAGCACTGCACCGAATTATATTTCTAACTATATCCTGGTGCATCTAATTTCGGTTGCTTAGTTGATGTTGTAACTTGTTTGTTTTGTTCGCTTAATGAGAATCTATTTTGATTCAAAAAAATTTGTGAAGCACCCACTGGTACAACTGCTCCAGAGGCAAAAGTTAGATTGGGCACAAAATCAATGGTAAAGAAAACACCTGGCAGAAATAGGGGTCCTGCAGGAAAGGCTACAACTACACAGACAGCAAAATCAGCAGAGATTGTAAATGAGAAGGTTGAGGAATCTCCAAAGAATGAGAAGAAGGCAGAGATAAAGGATTTGGAACATGCAAAAACTGAGGAATCTGTTCGTGAAAATTCTGGAAAATCAAAAGAGAAGAAACAGATCACAATAGAAGCTGAACAAACTGTTTCCGAAAATATGGATAAAATTAGGGAGAAAGAAGTTTCCAAAGAGGAGGAAATTTCTGCTAAAGATGAAGACAAATCGACAAAGGGTGAGCAAGGTACAAAGGAAGTGGAACTAACTCCTGTTGAAAATATTGAAGAGCCTAGGAAGCTAGAAGAAACTGTTGAGGATAGGGGAATCCAACTTGGTGACTGTATGGATGTTGCCAACTCCAGTGAGAACAAACAATTCAGCAGTTCAAAAGAGGGAGAGGTAACAAAGGAAAATCTCAAGGAGGAGATGACAAAAGGCAACAGTAAGGAGGATGCAAAGATTGAAACAAGTAAAAGGGAGGGAAATGACAAAGATGAGTTCCAAGGAG